GCCACTGTGCCCAGCCTTGTTTTTTTTTTTTTTTTTTAGTTAGCAATTATTTCAAATATTTTAAAATGCTGGGCAGGCCAAAGGTAACACTTCCACCTGGCAACCTCTGGGCTGTATCTCCTCACAAGGGCAATAATTCAGATAGCATTTTCCAGTTTTTGGAACATCTTCTATATATCAGGACATTCTTATAAGCACCAGAGGCTATTGGTTTCCTATTAAAACCCCCATTTAGAGGGAAAGGAATGTGTACAAGGTCTCCCAGTGTAAAGCCCACACACACAGCTGTCATCATTCTCAAGTGAAGAGGAAGACTGGGGTCTCATCAGAGCTTACTTAGAGCCAGACAGTTAGTGCTGTCTGAAGAGCCAGGCTCCACAGAGCTATGATCTAACATTTCCCCAGTGCAGCCCCTAGCTTCATCTTCCCAGCTGGCACCTGCCAGACAGCAAGCAAAACATGAATTTCAAAAGGCTGACTTCAGGCCAGGCTCAGTAGCTCACGCCTATAATCCTAGCACTCTGGGAGGCCAATGCAGGTGGATTGCTTAAGCTCACAAGTTTAAAACCAGCCTGAGCAAAAAGTGAGACCCCCCATCTCTACTAAAAATAGAAAAACTGAGGCAAGAGGATTGTTTGAGCCCAAGAGTTTGAGGTTGCTGTGAGCTATGACACCACAGCACTCTACCCAGGGCGACAGCGTGAGACCTGGTCTCAAAAAATAAAACATAATAATAAAAAAAAATTTTTAAAGGTCAACTTCAAATAACTTGGGGTGGTTCCTCAAAAAGCTAAAGAATGACCCAACCATATATCCAGTAATTCCATCCCAAAGTGTAAGCCCAGACAGCACTATTCATGATAGCTAAAAAGATGAAAAAACCTATGTGTCCACCGACGAATGAATGAATAAACAAAACGTGGTCTGTCCATACAATTGAAAATTTTTCGGCCATAAAAACGAAGGACTGACACATGCTATAATATGGATTAACCTTGAAATATGCCAAATAAAAGGAGTTAGTCACAAAAGGTCACATATGTGGGCAGCGCCTGTGGCTCAAGGAGTCGGGCACTGGCCCCATATACCAGAGGTAGTGGGTTCAAACCCGGCCCTGGCCAAAAACTGCAAAAAAAAAAAAAAAAAAAAAAAGTCACATTATGTATGGTTATATACATGAAATTTCTAGAATAGGCGACTTCACAGTGACAAAAGGGAAATTAGTGGTTGCCTAAGACTGGCAGGACAGAGGGTGGGGGGAAGGATTGCCTAATGGGCATGGGGTCTCCTTTTGGGGTGATGAAAATATTTTGAAACTAGATAGAAGTAGTGATTGCACAACACTGTTGAGTGTATTAAATGCCACTGAACTATATACTTTGAAATGGTCAATTTTGTTATTAAACTTTTGCATCAAATTTTTTAAAATATTTTCATTTGTAGACACTGATTCTCATTATGTTGCTCAGGCTGGCCTTGAACTCCTGGCTTCAAGCAATCCTTCCACCTTAGCCTCCCAGCTAGGATGACAGCTGTGAGCCACAATGTCAGGCCTTATCTCAATTTTTTAATAAAAAGATTGAAGTCTGGGTGTGGTGACTAACACCTGTAATCCTAGCACTCTGGGAGGCAGATTGCTTGAGGTCAGGAGTTTGAGACCAACCTGAGCCAGAGCAAGACTCCGTCTCTACTAAAAACAGAAAAACTAGCTGGGTATCATGGCCTATAGTCTCATCTACTCCAGAGGTTGAGGCAAGAGAATCATTTGAACCCAAGAGTTTGAGGTTGCTGTGAGCTATGACACCATGGTAGTCTACCTAGGGAAACAAAGTGAGATTTTTGTCTCAAAAAAATAAAATAAATAAATAAATAAATAAAAAGACTGACACATTCCTTAGGCTGTCAATTCCTCCATCTCTGGCATAGAATATTAACCTTTGGTTCATATCTTTGGTTCCTCTCTTTGACAAATTCCACTGGACAAAAGTCACAGGTGCTGCTGAAATTCAGTGAGTACACCCTCAGACATGCATCTGTAGATGGTGGGCACTCCATGTCAACCACCCACATCATGAAAGGCTTCTCTGGATCCAGAAAAACAACAGGTACTCAGCAGAGATTTTATAAATGAATAAAATGATATCTCTTAATGACGCTGGGTGGTAGAGGGGGATAGAGAGGAAAGCACAGACAGTAGCAGAAAGTCAGAGCTCCCTGGAGGACCTGGTTGAAAAGCAGAGAAAAGCCACTCAGCCTTCTTGCAACAGTCCTTCCAGAAGTATTGACAGACTATCTACTATGTCAGTCAATGTGGCAGATAAAGTCCAATGGGAAACATGTTACAGAAGCATCCACAATATCCCACCCCTGACATGGGCCTGATGTATGAACACAGAGTTTACAGTAAAAGAAAAACAAAGAATCCAATCATGTGTAAAGATTCTCAGTATCACTTGTAGGATGACAGGTGCAAATCCAAACTACAATGAAATAGTTTGTTAGTCCCTCAAAAAGTTAAATGTAGAATTACCATATAATCAGCAATTCCTGTTCTAGGTATGCCCAAAGGAATTGAAAGCAAGGATTCATACAGATACTCGTACACCTGTGTTCACAGCAGCATTATTTACAATAGCCAAAGATGGAAACAACCCAAGGGTTCATCAACAGATGAACAGATAAGCAAATGGTGTAGACCCAGACAATAGGATACTGTGTAGTCATTAAAAGGAAGGAAATTCTGACTCATGCTACAACATGGACAAACCCTAAAGACACGGATGATGAAACAAGCCAGATACTAAAACACAAATGTATGACTCCTCCTATATCACGTACCTAGACTAGCCAGAGAGTAAAAAAAGTAGAATAAGGTTACCAGGTACAGAGGAGGAGAGAAACAAGGAACTTATTGTTTAAGGAGTATAGAGTTTCCCTTTGGGGTGATGAAAATGTGTTAGAACTAGGTAGAAATGGTGATTGCACAACATTGTGAATGTGCCTAATGCCACTGAATTGTACACCTAAAAATGGGTGAAATGGTAAATTTCATGTATACTTTATTGACTACAAGGAATATTAAGTGGAATATTCTTATATTAAGAAACTACTATTGGCTCAGCACCTGTGGCTCAAGTGGCTAAGGCGCCAGCCATATACACCTAAGGTGGCGGGTTTGAATCCAGCCCAGGCCCACCAAACAACAATGATGGCTGCAACCAAAAAATAGTCAGGCGTTGTGGCGGGCGCCTGTGGTCCCAGCTACTTGGGAGGCTGAGGCAGGAGACTCTCTTGAACCCAGGAGTTGGAGGTTGCTGTGAGCTGTAATGTCACAGCACTCTACCCAGGGGGACAGCTTGAGGCTTTGCCTCAAAAAAAAAAAGAAACTACTATTAATAAAACTACAATGAAATGCTATTTTTTCATCTATCATATTGGCAAAGACAAAAATTTAATGATAGCATCTTCAGGTAAGGTTCTGGGGAATGGGAATTATGAGATAGCACCATCCTTATGGAGGGAAATTTACCAATATTTGAAAAAATTCTAAATGCACATACCTTTGAATTAGTGATTCCACACCAGAGTATTTATCCTCTGGACAACCTTACACATATAGAAAATTATGTACATATAAGATTACTTTGGGCAGTGCCTGTAGCTCAGTGGGTAGGGCACCGGCCACATACACCCAAGCTGATGGGTTTGAACCCTGCCCAGGCCAGCTAAACAACAATGACAACAGAAAAATAGTCAGGCGCTATGGCAGGTGCCTGTAGTCCCAGCTACTAAGGAGGCTAAGGGAAGAGAATCACTTAAGCCCAAGAGTTTGAGGTTGCTGTGAGCTGTGACACCACAGCACTCTACCCAGGGCAACATAGTGAGACTCTATCTCAAAAAGAAAAAAAAGAAAAAAAGAAAATT